AATATACACAACAAAATCAATCAGGCGGTACAATCACTGAATGCTTTGAAGGTGGATACTACCTCTTGGGACCCACTAGTGGTTCATTTAGCAACTGCAAAATTCGATCAAAGCACACTGACGGAATGGGAAAAGGTGGTGCCTACAAAAGATCCCCCAAGGCTTCAAGAGCTGCTTGAGTTTTTAAAGAAACGTTCATTTTTACTTGAGTCGGTAGAGCGCAGAAAGTCGCAGTCAATTCCGAGGGACTAAGATCCAGATCTTCCGCAGATCTAATTTCGAGAGGAACAGATGCTGAAAGCTTGAAACTTTCAACAATTTGGTGGAACGGACCAGAAAACATGACACAGCTACATGACAGAATGGAAATTCGACCCTCCCAATTCTCCTCATCATGGTGGACTTTGGGAGTCAGCAATAAAAATATTCAAATCGCAATTGTATAAAGTAATAAGAGCAAGAATATTTACTTTACAGCAATTAACGCAGCTTGTCCCTCAAATTGAAGCTGTGCTCAATTCAAGACCTTTGGTACCCTTGTCCAGCGCCCCTGAAGAGACGTAATGACGCCAGGTCATTTTTTAATAGGAAGACCTCTCACGTCTTATCCTGATAACACACCTACAAAGCAATCTACAAAAATTCTACAATACCTTTACAATCTCTTATTATCACCGCACTAATGCCCCTATATTTATCGGCGTCTAGAAGAAGCTTTGTCGTGTCATAAACTCAGCTAAACGTTCAAAGGGCGTGCTTAAATAAATTAAAATAAAAAACTTAAAAAAATATGATAAAATGGATTTTCTCCACAATCAAATTTGGAAAAGTGGAAAGCAGTGAAATTGACCTCCTTCATTTTGTTTCAATTGTTTCTCACAAAAATTTACCTGGCATTTTCTTATAATTTTTGAAAATCTATTTTTACGTTTCAAAAAATTTGACGCGGACTTCAAATCATTGCTAGGATCTGCAATTTCCGAACAAACGCGGGGCCCTTTAAACTCTCAGGACATTTTAACACGTACACCATCACCTACTTGCGAGGTAATGTCTTTTTAACGCTCATTAATTGAGGGGCTCGGAGGACAAGGCGCATAAGTGCAGTTTTAGAAAAAATTAAGGTATTAATGATTTCAAGTAAAACTTGTCTTTATGCATATTTTATTAAAAATTCGCAACCACATTCCAATTTTTAAGCATAAAAAAGTCAGTTTGAATTTTGCCTCCGCCATAAGGATCCTTGTAATTTCAAACTTTCAAACACGTATTTCTCGAAATAGCAAAAACTGCACTTATGCACCTTGTCCTCCAAGCTCCTCTCTCATTTTCTCACTTTTTACATTCCTGGTCATAATTGTTGCGACGTTGCCAATTTTTCTTCCTTCTCAAAGCCGGGAGGAAATCGGGCGGTGGCCTCTTCATCAACTCTCTTCTTCGTCCTGTTTCAGTTCTGTGTGCAAATTTTAGGCAATGACGCTCATTCGCTCCCTCTTTAAAGAAATGAAACAACAGTAGAGATTCTTGGAAAGCCGCAATCGAAATACGCGCATTTTCCAACCCTCAGCATTGATATCAACGAAATAACAGTCGAGTGTGTAACGCCGAAAGTTGATTCGCCGCGATCAATAATATTGCATTTCCTTTTCCCCGAAGCGGAATGAAGCCCAAGCCGAAACGCGTAAATCCCTCAGGAACATCCCTTCTCTCTCCTACAGGGCTTAAGTGTCAAGATTTCTTTGTTGCTGGTAATCCCTTTGTTTCTGTTTGCAGCAGACGGGGAACTCGAACTAAGTCTTTAATTATTGTTTCAGATGTTCCTCCAGACGGACCAGGTTGTCTGCGCCTTCCTCATTGTAATTTTACATTATTTTCACCTCACAAACATATACTGGATGTTCGTCGAAGGTGAGTTGTGATCTTTTTTCACACTTTGTCCATAAAAAAAGAAATGATTGATTACTCTCTTTATTAAGAGAAAATTGAAAAGAAATAGGTACAAAATAGTGATATAGCAACCTGAGCGAAACACTTGATCGGCACAGCAAATTTAGGAATTTTTCACATTGGAAGAAAAATGTAATTGTTGAATTTACTACATGAGCAGGGATCTTCCCCTGCGGATAAATATTTAGGATTGTTGATTCTTTTTCTTACTGCCGTTCAATGCTGGGTTCTAAGCGAAAAGCATCGTTCCGTTTGACACTCAATAAGAAAATCATCGACTTTTTCCTCGAGTTTCGAAGTTGTGTTCAAGTTTCATTTTAGACATTGCAAAAAAAATGGATGCTTCCAGTGGCGTGGCGTGAATTGCGATATATCGATTGTTATGCCATTTAAACCTATGATAAAGAATCGATTGTTAAGATGTTCGCTGCGAACACCCTGTTTATCGATCCTTTTCCATAGGTTTAAATGGTTTAACAATCGATATATTGCAATTCACGCCACGCCACTGGATAATTCAATGACTCCGTTAGAGGTCGCTCCATGCCTCGCCAAGGTAAAACGCCGTATGAGCCTTCAGATTTCCCTTGATAAAGACCTAATTTACTTGAAAATGTTTGAATATTTAATTTGCTTAAAACTTTTTAGACAACTTTGTTTACAATTTGATCTAAAATACCTGAAAATGTCAAGAAAAATATTCATAACTTTCCTGACAAATACATAATTAATTTGGGGAAATTTTACAATTCCCGAATGTTCATACAGCGTCCTTCCTTAGCTCGGCACTACTGACGGTTTTGTAAGGGCGAGAGTGTCAACGCAAAGGTTGCAGGCCTACAGTTATTGCTTCCATCTCTGTTTTTAGTATTAATGCTATCTCATTATAATCTCTATTATATCTCAATAATACACGATGGTCTACAGCTCAGACCTCATCCCACTATCATCCTAGTAGCTACGACTGGAAAAAAAAATAAAAATAAAAAAAATCCTTGTTAATTTTAGAAAGACAACTCTTATAAAAACTGTTAAAGTGTACGAAGAATGAAACCGTTTTGTACTTTTTAATGTAAAATTCTCTATCGGTAAAATTTCTGTTAGAATATTGAGTCTTAAGAAATCTACTGTCCTTCATTCACAAATTGAATGCTCTTAAAATTTTAAAAAATTTGATGAGAAAATTGTAGTTTTCCAAGGATCATTTCACATAAATTGTACTTCCAAAATACTCCTAAAAGCTAGATTGCCTTCTTCGTAATGTCTGACAGTTTTTAATGAATTAGTTTATCAAACGTTGCCACCATGGCTCAGACACATAACTTGTCAGTTTTTCGCTGATATTTCGTTCATTGAATCGATGGTGAAGAGAGTAGATCATTATGCATTTTGTAACGATCTAGCGTTTGTTATCTTTGTTAGGAAATGCTAATTTTTAGGAATTCTTTTTCTCCCCTGTCCCTCTGTCTCATCCCACCTTCTTCTTCTCTCCACCCTCCCCCTTTCTCCCCTGTCCCACCTCCATTCCTCTTCCCGTCCTTAAATATGATCTTTTAATTATTCGAGCACATTTCAAGCTATTTGTTTTTATTTATTTTTGGTTTTAGGTCTATACTTGTACATATTAGTTGTGGAGACATTCACACGAGAGAACATCAAACTTAGAATGTATATCATCATTGGATGGGGTAAGTTCATTAATGGGATAAAAGGTATTAAGTGTGCATTTTTACACTAAAATCGCTTCAGCATGATACGTGTGAGGGTTTAAAAGTTAATGGTAATCTAACGTTTACTCGGAATGATGCAAATTGTACTTTGTCGTGCTAAGGAAAAACGCCGTATAAGCCTTCAGGCGTTGCCATATTCCCTCTGATAAAACCACGAATTTTCTGGTAAACTTATAAATATTTTCCTTCCAACTGTTCTAAGAAAATGTTGTGCGCAAGTTCACCTAAAGTTCCTGAAGATTTCAAGGAAAAATATTCGTGATTTCCCTAAAAAATGCACATTTTCTCGAAGAAAATTCGGCAACTCTCGAATGTTCGCACGGCGTTCTTCCCTAGCACGGCAGTACTGCTCTACGCTGTGGAATAGATAGTTATAACTCATTCTGCCTTAAGGTCCATTTCGCCTAACTTCATGACACGTAAATTATTTAGGCCCCAAAGGCCACTCCTTTTTTTTCGTTTCCCCTCATGATTAAACCCAAGAAGAAATCGCAATTTAAAATGGTGATCTTTCCGTTATATTGAATGGGCGCAAGTGATGGTACGAGTAAGGTAGAAGATTTTGCTAGCAGATTAATACCCCTATTACATGGCAACAGTGCGAGGAAGATTCGGAGAGTCAGCCAATGCCGTGTCAATTTTTCGCGCTTCATTTGGCAAGCCAATCAAACATTAGTTTCAATGCAAAATGATTTCTTCGGTATCAACATCTTTAATATTGATTATAATCAACGTGTTTTCCTTGCCTGGACAGAGCTAAAACGACTAAACTCCAGTTGCGCGCAACTATTCGTGCTCTCAAGCCGCGCATATTGCCATCGCGGTTTTTGAAGGCGAACTCGACAGATTGAATGACACGCGGTGAGGCGAGTAATTAACGTGTGTCCCTTCACGTCGCGCATTGGATCGAGTCAATCGAGGTCGGACAAAATTTGGAAACTTTGAAAGCTTATAACTCGCTTACACACAATTTTGAGGTTCTAAAAGTGGCTCCATTGGTTTTCTTGTAAAATTTTCTTCTAGAGGCTCTCCTTAAAAATTCAAATTTGACGAAATAAACATCAAAATAGAGATGTTGCATGTGTGAGGGATTTGCGATTTGACCATTGATTCTCAAGTAATAGTTCTTGAGAAACACGATGGTGCCATTGGTTTTCTCTGAAATCATCTTCCAAGCTCAAAAGCAGCTCTCAAGTTGAGGCCAAAATGGAGGGGATATCCCACGCTATCCTGAGAGTCTACTTCTACATCAAAACAAACTCTCCATGCAAAGATAGGGAGCAAATACATTAGCAGGGTTGCCGTGTCTTCAGTTTTGGAGTCCCCAAATAAAGTGGCAACCCTGCTAGTGTATTTGCTCCCTATCTTTGCATGGAGAGTTTGTTTTGATGTAGAGGTGGCTCTCAGGGTAGGGTAGGATATCCCCTCCATTTTGGCCTCAACTTGAGAGCTGCTTTTGACTTGGGAGATGATTTCAGAGAAAACCAGTGGCACCATCGTGTTTCTCGCGAACTTTTACTTATGAAACAGCAGTCAAATCGCAAATCCCTCACACATGCAACATCTCCATTTCAAGTTTCAGTCAAGAATTTCATGTCCAACCTCTCTGATTCTGACTCAATCTACTGTGCGTCGGTTTTCCTTTTTTCATTCGCACTCATCATCATTATAGAGGGGAATTAAAAAATTAACTGTTCGTTAATACGCGCGTAATGTATAGCGCTCCGTGCGCGGCTCGGGTAAACCGGTGGTCCATTAATATATTGAAAAAAAAATTAAAAAGGGCTCATTTCGAGTTCCGCCTCTCTTTCGACATATGTCTCTCAGTTGTCCTTTTTATAATTTCTTTGAGTCAGGGGCCGCTCAAGTATTACGTGACGCACTTTTTCCGATTTTTTTACCCGTCCCTCCCCCTTGTAACGCGCCCGTAACGCTGGCTAAAACCCCCACTCCCCCCAAGTTCTTGATTCTATGTCACCATTTATGCTCTCCTGGAGCGAAGACTCGAAGCGTTGTTCAAAGGACGACTTCAGCCCCACCGTCTTTGGATCCCTTTTTTCGACAGAGGCCCCCATCTTTTTAGATGTGGGGTCATATGTACCCCACGTGAGTTGCCTGGAGGTGAAGGTCAGCAACACAAAATTACTTTGTCGCTTTCGCAGGCAGAGGACAGGGAGTCATTGCTTCATTCGACCGGGGGGCAGACAGACACGCGAGGCCAATCGGGGACAATTATTTGAATCGGCCGGTATCGAAACTGCACATGCCTATTATCCGAGGAGCCCCAGAATGTACGCATTTTTATGGAGCTCAAAGCTCATCAAGAAACGAGCTTATTGGGTTTTTCATGGACCAATTGGATCGGGGTACCCTCAGCATCCGCTGGTTGTTTCTCAAGTGATTGATGAATTCGGTAAACATTTTGATCGCTGCTCAGTCTGCCGCGCGGCCGCGCCAAGCAACGCCGCCGTGCAGCGTTGCCGAATTGACGTTAAAATTCCCGTTAACTATGGATTTATAAGTGCAATCATGCAAAATACGGCAATGCCACATCCATGCTCATTCTGGCTCTAGTTTTTCCTACATTGAGCTCCTCTGATTCACTCCTCGTGCCGCGCGCTTGTTCCCAGCCCTCGATTCGTCGTTCCCGGCACGAAAGAACGTAAATACATTTCGATGCTGCCAAATTTTCCCTCTCAATTTGTATTTTTACTGGGAAAATCTTGGGCATTTCTAACTGAAATTTTCACGGATTTTTCCTCTCATCCTATTGAAGAATCAGAAACATTTTAGAAAAAAAATGACACGCGAATATTTTTGTAATAAATTGAATTGTTTGAGCCGATTTTGCGGCCTTGGAATGTGTACGGATAACAACGAATCGTAGCTTCTTCTACCTCTAACCATGCTGTCAAATCTTGCTGAGGGCCTGTTTCTGTCCTTTGGTTGGCTTTTGGCAGATTTACAGGGTGCGTAATTCTTCTGAAACTCGACGTCGTAGTAGTAGTAGTAGTAGTAGTAGTAGTAGTAGTAGTAGTAGTAGTAGTAGTAGCAGTAGTAGTAGAAGTAGTAGTAGTAGTAGTAGTAGTAGTAGTAGTAGTAGTAGTAGTAGTAGTAGTAGTAGTAGTAGTAGTAGTAGTAGTAGTAGTAGTAGTAGTAGTAGTAGTAGTAGTAGTAGTGGTGGTGGTGGTGGTGGTGGTGGTAGCAGTTGTAATCGTAATACGATATTAACAATTTAAACTGCGGGTAACGAGGCTTTTTTCACACAAATATACTACCAAAACGTTTCGGCTAAAAACTCAGCCTCCCTCAGTTGCTGGACATAAGACAGTAAAAAATTAAAAATCTAAAATCTCAGCAGTTGGCTGTACCGATCAAAACGAGAAGAATGTTGTTATGAAAAAAATTGTGATTACGCGGTCAACGCAATAAAACACCGCGTTGCCCGCTGTTTAAATTGTTTATTATTCCGTTGTTTCAACAGATTTATATCTCCTCTTTTTGTTGATGTGACTTTTCATTCAATTATAATACTTATGTTTTTTTTATAATAATTACATTTGTTATTGTTAACAAAATAATAACTATAGGTATTAATATGATTATAATTTTTAATGTCATGGGCTGCGGAGCATCCAACGTGTCTCAAGTATTCGTAATGGTAGTGATGGGAAAGTAAATAAAACATATTTGTTCTATTAGGGAATCTATTGGCAGAGGATAGTTGAATGGACAAACGCCTTTATCGCCTTTAAAAGAACCGTTTCCAAAGTTTTGATTGAGCAAGGATCTGTGAAAATTACTCACGATCGGTTTCTATCTTGAGACAAAATTAATTTTGAATTGAAGAGCATAACATTGCAACTCCTAAGATAGCAGTCATCCCCGACAGTCTTGGGATCTCACGCGCTCTCACCCCAGCTCCGCTTTTTCTTCTCACTTCACAAACAATCCGGGAACAAATTTGTCCCCGGTATTTTCCCTCTGTAAATAGTCTCTTATTTGTTCATTTTACGCGTCTAATTTTATCTAATTCTTTTCTCACTTTGCATCTCTTTCCTTTTGGGGATGTTTCGGCCACTTGAACGTCCCTCGAATCTCCCTCGTTTTTCGTCCGAGGCTAGGCAGATTTAAAGAGAACGAAGCGAGACAAAAACAGATTTTACAGATTGCACCATAACCTCCGTGCCGTTGTTTTTTCACCTCCTTATCTTAAAAAGAGGGAACTCGCATTGCCATTACTCGAATTACCCGAGGAGCATTTTTAAACGGAAAAATCGCGATATGTTGCGATTTTATCGTCGATAAAATCGCTAGGATCGCCAACATCTCAGCGATTATCCTCGATTTTATCGCGATGAAACCGCGATATTGTCGAAATGAAAATCGCGGTAAATGGCGATTCAATCCCGACTTTATCAACGAAAATTGATCGCGATTTTATCAAACAAAAAAGTGCGGTGTACAGCGATTTAATTGCCATATATCGCAATTTTTAATTCGACAATATCGCGATGAATTGCCACAGATATATTTTTACCAACCAATGAAATCGCTATTGCTATTCGGGTGGGCCTGTTCCATGCAACATATGGATGAAGGGAACATGTATCCGCTTTGAAGTTAGACCTCTATCCCCCTTTAGTTGGCCGCAAATGGACGTACTTCTGCCAAATGGAACTATGTGCATTACGACATGAGCCCTGAGACCCATGAAAATGTATGCATAACAGGGCTCACGTCATAATAGACTTAGTTCCGTTTGGCAGGAATACGTCCAAATAAAGGAAGACCACCACAGGTGTGGCACGAGTTGTTTGAATGAAAGATAAGTTGCATCAGTGAATGCCTGGTATTGGGCGTTTGAATTCCTCGGAAAGAAGCCAACGTTGGCACCATCTTTGCGTTGGTTCTGTTCAGCTTTTAAGGTCAGAATCAAGCGACGACGCGACGCAACT